TCTGTGTCTGTGTCTGTGTCTGTGTGAGAGTGAGAGTGTGAGTGTCTGTGTCTGTGTCTGTGTGTGTATGTACAATCTGTCAATATGGTACCCGTCAAATTACAACTCCTACTGTCTGTTACATCAAAATCAACAGGAAAATGAAACGGTTGCCCACATCTTAAATGGATGTTGTTGTTACAAAGGACTGTATGTGTCCAGACACGATCGTCTGGTTGATCTGATTGTAAAGGACTTATAAACAATACATAAAGACAGTAAGTTTTACCAGCATACTACTGTTGAATTGAACTGGTTTTATGACAACACATCTGACAGTGACTATTTCAAAAACATTCCAAACACTCCAGACATTGTGATTGTAAACAAGGCTTTGAACTCTGTATTTGTCATTGAGGTTGGCTGTTGTTTTGATCTGTATTTTGATACCTGCTATCTTTCCAAACTGCTGAAATATCAGCCATTGGTTGAAGCCATCCATCAACTTGACTATCACTGTAAGTTAATTACCCTAGTGTTTGGAAGCTTAGGTCATGTGCACAAGAATGTGATTAAAGGTCTGCAGTTGAGTGGATTGCAAAAAAAGAAAGCAAAAAAACTCGCAAAATTTTGTTCAGTTTCAGCCACTATAGGGAGTATGCAAATATGGAAACGAAGATGTTTTGTCTATCCTTGAGTGTTGAATGTTATAAATATAAGGACTTGTGAATGTATGTTAGCCATATGTACCTGTCATCTTGCAAACTGACTTCCCAAGGTATTTGGACTCCGTTTTTGTTGCTTGTCTTGTGGATCCAAATAAAAGAATAAAATGTGTGTGTGCAGCTGATGCTCAGTCTTGATCTGAGAGGCAGAATCAGTATCACAGCATGTTCTCTGATGTAGAGCAGAGCAGAAGTGTCCCGGATTGATCCTGGTTTCTGACTGCAGGCGTGTGTGTGTGTGTGTGTGAGTGAATCACGGTCAGCACTGATGGTGTGTGCTGGCTCGCTCCTGACCCTCTGCTGTGTTCCAGGAGACGCTGCAGCAGCTGGTGGTGATGTCACTTCCTGACGTGCTGGTGCTGGGCCGGACTCCTCTGAGCGGTAGGTCTCGCCTCGCTCTCAGGACACAGTGACACACTCTGTCGCTTTCAGCCATCAACTCACAGATCTTCCTACAGGCTGAAACAGGCTTTATTTAATGGGAAACTCCAAAAGTAGCTAATCGTCACAGTGAATGTTTAATGGTAGTTCATATAGTGACCTAAAAAACTAAGTAGAAAACATTGGGTTGCACTTTATTGTACAGTCTGTGCACTGACCTGTACTTACAGTGTGCTTGCCTAAGAATGTACTGGTAATATAAAGTGCCTTCATGAGTTGAGATTAGGAGGAGGTTCAGGGTTAGTACCTAGTTATTACCCAGTTATTGCAATTACTATAACGAGCATGTAGTATGTACATGTGGAAGAGGACTGCTACCAAACATTTTCGAAGGACTGTAATATTTCCACTCAGAAAATTAGAATTCAGTTCTTGATGACTAATAGCTCATGAAAGTGTGATGGATGGGAGTTCAGCAGAACGTGAAGAGAAACAAACACCTGAACGCTTGTGCCGTGGTGCAGCAGTCTGCATGATGATGGAACTGTGAGGATCTGCCTG